CAAGATAACACCCATTGAATAAATATCGGTAGGCAAGTCGAAGGGTGTCCCAGCGAGAATCTCGGGTGACATGTACGCGTCTGTGCCACAGAACGTGAGTCGTTTCAGTTCTGAGTCGTTTCGGGCGGCGATGCGGGCGAAGCCAAAGTCGGTGATCTTGACGCGAAGGTTAGACGTAAGCAAGAGATTTTCTCCTTTGAGATCACGGTGGAGACACTGAAATGAGGAATGTACGTGAATCACTAATTAACCTGGTTTGAAGATGCGTCATACCTTTCTTGCGTGCAGGTATGCCAAAGCCCTGGCAATATCTGTCGCAAACGACAGTCGCAATCTCCACGGAAACGTCTTGGTCTTATCATATATATAATGCCTCAAGTTCCCGTTTTCGATGTATTCTGAGACTATAAAGATACGACCGTCAGGAGCGCGGGAAAGACCGAGGTAGAGCACGACGTTGGGGTGTCTGCATTCTTTCATGAGACGCCATTCGCGTTCGAAGTACTTCGCAACATCGTATTCGGTAGAAGGTAATACTTCTTTGATTGCGACGTCGATACCAAGATAGGATCCTGCAAAAGGATTATAAGGTCAACTGGTGTTTCTGAGTTCCACAGGGGACTTAACGCACCTTTGTAAACGTTCCCGAATGATCCCGATCCAAGTTTCTTCCATTGACCTTTAATGTCCTAGACAAATAAGCATTGCATGAGCACTATTCGATCTTTCCGATCGCACCCTTTCCCTCGATCTTCCCCGCCCGCTAGCACAAAGAACGCAACGAAACCTACCTCGAAAGGTATCACATCGAACGCCGACTCTGACATCGCGCCCAGCCCCAATATTTCTTAACTATCTTCTTGACAATGTTTTGTGTTCAGCAAAGTATGAGGGTATATAGAAGGATGGTGGGTATGCTGAGCGAGGAAAGGGGCAGAAGCTGTGTGTGTAATGACGATGACTAACGTGCTTATAGTAATCGGTGTGACGCACGGGACACGTGACGTCACGTATCTATCCGGTTTGATCCCGACCAATGCGCGACTCCATCTAATATACAGACGTCAATGGAGTGTAATAGAAAGTGCCATGGGAGGACTCATTACTAGATATTTAGAGGGATATATTGAACTGCGCATTGAGAGTACCAGTATAGGTTTTCTTTTTAAAATTCCAGTCAATTTGTTACACTTACAGCAGTCCGTGCATATGCCATACAACCCGTGCTCCTGAACGATAGAGCCGACTTGTCTCAATTTCTTCGAGTCACCTCATGAGAACTTTATCATGAGCCGTATCATTGCTTCCTAATCTATTGATGTTTTATACCCTTACAAAACCTATTTCTAATGGTTCATTATGGCGACTTATTTGATGTCTCTATAAATTATATCAAAAACGGCACATATACAGCGCTAGGTCTCAATTGATCCCTATGTAAGCCTTTAAGTCCAAACGGTTGACAGATCCTAAGACTCATTACACTTTCTGTTTCAATAGATAATAAGCATTCTCGAGTTACTGCCAAAGGATAAAAAGCTCACAAGGATACGATTAGCAAACTCAGTCAATGCGTCAAGAAACTCTTTCTTATTCTCAGTGAAGAGTGCATGGCTACCGTTCGGAACGTCGAAGATCTTGACATTTATAGGTTTCATTTCCCGAATAACCACCTCTCCTTTGATTTGTTTATTAGTCTCTCCATTTATGATCAGTAAGAGGAGCCCCGCAGCTCCTGCCTGGAACAACGTGGTTGGATCTTGCTTGCGAGACAGCACTAGTTTTGAGACTTCGGATGGCTGCAATAAACTCATTCCCAAACAAGACCACTTCAAGTTAATCGACACTGGAATCCTCTCAGGTTCATTGAATAGTGTCGACGAACTCTATCTTGGCTTTTCTGGAGAGTTCTACTTCACCTGCAGTGAAGAATCCAGGGAGAAAGCCTAGAATGGTCGATGAACCAACTTAGTTCATGATAGGACCGATATAGCATAAGGCAGTGAGGTAACGAATGCAGAAATAAAATCCTTTCCGAGGTGAGCGCAGATGTCACATGCGGTGGTGGCTTTGTATCAAAGTGATTAGCCACAGTAATTCTAGAATCTCGGCAGTGAATTTCACACTAACCGCCTAGACTCCTGGATATGCATATATGAGGTACAATATGTTATATAAGCAACAGATGACATACCATTCCACTAATATAGGCCTTGTGAGCCCCAGCTCCTTGCAGATTGTTGAAAAATCGTCCGCATACAGGGAACAACATGTCCTGCCTCCTCAACTGGCATCCCACTCCGACCATGTCCCCTCATGTCGTAGGCAACCTGTCAAATGTAGC